AAAAAATTTCAAAGAGCAACTTTATTAAGAATATGGCTACCATATTTCTGTCTTCAAAAGTCAATAATAAACTATTCTCACTAACATTCATTTCCAAAACTCATCCTTCTGTATGTCTGTTAGGTGCTTCTTAATATAAATATTCTTCAAAAGTTAAATAGTAGCTTTGTAACATAAACAATCGTTTTACAAACATAAGTGATTATAAATAATAGATATCTGCGCTAGCGTTCCTAATTTAGCAAGTGTAAGACTAGAGGGAAGGCAGTTAGTCATTCCCACCCACCGCCAACTCTTGGGCTACTCTTTCACCAACGAATAGAGGGATTAATCGTCACATTATAACGCCCCCACGCCTGAAAGTTTGTTTGGTGGGACGGGGATTCGAACCCACGACCCTCAGATTGCGAGTCGCATCGCCCTAACCATCTGGTCATGCCGGGTTCTAATCACTTTATCAATAATATAATTCTCTAAGTATCGAAAGCGCTATTTCAAAAAAAGTAAAAGAAACCTATTGCATTGCATATTCGAATACCGATCACCTCCGTGGAATTAACCCTGATTCCCGAGTCGGTGACCTTTGACCTATAACTTGAGTATAAGTATAACTATAAGAACTTTGCATCTGAAAACAATTTTGTTTGTATATTTATTACAGCATGGGAGATATGTTTTTATATTATTTTCAGTATTTTTTCATACCTATAAAATGGTACGCTATTACCAATATTTGTTATTAGATTCTAGACAAAAATACAAAAGCGCTCGTGTTATGTGGTATTGTACTAGAGAAAACCACAATTTATAATTAATTTTTTGAACCTACGTGTTTTACTAACAATAACATCACGATATTACATTGTAATTAAATTTACCTTATTCTTCGTTCTTTCTTCTTTGTTATTTGAAGTCAGTCTTAATTATCAGATTCCTTACAAAAATGGCCAGGTGGTTAGGACGCTCGATTCGCAATCTGCGGGTCGCGGGTTCGCATCCCCATCCCACCAAAACATGCTCGCCCTTTCAGCCGTGGGGGCGTTATAATATGACGGTCAATCCCACTATTCGTTGGTAAAAGAGTAGCCCAAGAGTTAGCGGTGGGTGGTGATGACTAGCTGCCCACCCTCTAGTCTTACACTGCTAAATTAGGGACAGCTA